GTTTAACAGGAGAAACTGCTGCTTTCTGCTCCTCTCACCACTTCTCACAGCCCCCAGGCAGGGGAGGAAGCAAAGAGCTCCAGGAACCTGGAGCTTGGCCACCACAACAGAGACAGAGAGACAATGTTGCCTGTTTCAGTTGCAAGGGGGAAATGTTGTGCTTATAATGTAACATAATGCTGGAAGACTTAATATTTGTTCTTCAATCTGTGCTAAAATGTTTAAGTTGTAAAATGATAAAAAAAAAAAAAAGATAATGAGCATGCCTTTGCAGCTACAAACTGATTGAAAGCAATATGTCAGGTGCAGTGTTGGCTGGGAATGGCTGATACACGGTGTCAACTTGAAGTTGGGAAGCTGGGCTGAGTGACTCCAAGGAAGGACCCCAGTTCTTTTGCTTCCCCTCCTGTGTTCTTGCTACGTTTGCTGTCTTCCCTGCCAAGGCCTGTTACTCCCTCAGACACTGTTCAACAGGCTTCTGTTTCCCCTGCCAGCTTCCAGAAAAACGCTTCTGCCTTTTGCAAACAATTCCATTTAACCTGCATGCAGGTTCAAAAGTGTTAAACTTGCTCAAAATTTACCTACCAAAACAAAAAACGAGAATATTGCTTAGACTTCATTGGGCAGTATGTACTGTTCAAGCTTAAATCCTACTAAGGATGGAACCACAGCAGCAGCAAGACAATTCAGTGAGGTAAAAGAAAGAAGCCAGGAAGGGTTCTTCAGAGAAACCTTCTTACTGGACAGTGGAAGGGACCCAGCCCAGGGTGAATTTGGGGTGGAGCGTTTGCTTGTGTTTTTCCAGAAAATGATAAATGGGTGCCAGAGCATGCTGTCTTGCTGTATCATGGACCCAAACCCAGAGAAGGAGGTGATTCCACCTCTCACGAAGCTGATGCTGAGTCCTGTGACAGTGATGCCTCAGAGACCACGCAAGAGCCCACAGAAAAGGATGAAGCTAGAACCAGCCTTAAGTGACTCAGAATGCCCAGGAGATGGTAACCAAAACTAAAATCAAAGTCTAAATACATGATAGGAGTGTATGCTCAGTCCAATGATAAGAATATGTTAATTTTAGATAAGATTTTGTCTTTTCCAAATTCTTTGACAAGAAAGCTCTGCTAATTGACTTACCACAAATCTGACCTCCTATTTACAATTATAAATTCTACAACTGTAAAAAGTTAGTGTGATTCAATTTGGCTGAAATATATTTGAGTGCACTGTGATTGGGTAAGAAGTCTGTCAGTCTGCCTGTGTATCTGCTTGTCCAGTCTGTTAAGCTGTTGTTGGGAGTCCACTGGGCTACTGATTATTCACCCGTGTAGAGCTGAGAGCACAAGTGCCCATACAGGAATGCTCACGGGCACAGAGTGCCTGAGAACCACCCTGAGGGCATGGGGTGCTGGAGGACACAGGCTGTAAGAAGCAAGGTGGTTCACCACTGGGGTGGGATATAAGTGTGTAACAGCCCCTCCCTGGGAACTTAGTTCCCTTAAACATCGAGAAACTTGTTTCTCTGTCTGTTCATATCTGTAGAGATCCTCTGTCCATGTTTGTCTGTTGTCCGTCCTATAAACAAGCTGTCCCAGCACCAAGAAGGCAGGGGGTCCAGGCCAGCCAGGTAAACAACTTGCTAGGCAGCGGGCTGAAACTAACCTCCGTCTTCGGAGTTGTATGGAGGGTATAAATAAAGGTGCTGCAGTGGTTGAGCGGTTCCTTTCTGCCCATCAGGAGGATGAGGGCTCCACCTGACCCCAGCTTCCTCTCTTCTTCATGTTCTCACTCCCTGGGGTCTCCTTCCCCCTCAAGAACCTCAAGAGCCCCATGGGTCACTGCAATACCCATCAACCATTCCAAGTGTCTATGATTAAAAATAACTGAAGGCAGCAAGAGGGCGACATTTCAGCCAATAGAGAGGGACTGTCCCATTCTCAGTTTCAAGGACTGAGCCAGTGTTTGCAGGGTCCAGGGACTCAAGAGCTGTCCACACCTATAGGAAGAAGGTCCCAGAGACCCCAGCAAAATGCCCTTTTTCAGGGAAGACAGCCCGGTCCTTCTGCAGAGGAACCCACATCCACACACTCAGGAGACCACACTGGGCAGGAGGAATTGGCAGGATGCTGAGGGGTGGGGTGCGTGGGAGTTCACGTGGACACCGAATCCCCACAGCACCGCCCTGTCTCCCCTAACACAGTCGGTCTACAGACACCAAGGGAAAAACCTGGGTAGAATCTGGGTCACTTTGGGACTGCAAAGTGACCTTGGGTCATTTCTGACTTGTACAGTGGGCAGTGATGACCTGGCAGGTGGAGGACCCCATCGTGGACCCTGAGAGTATGCAGAAAGGGCCTGGATGTGCTGAAGGACAAAAGGAACCCGCTGAGCCCACCCTGTTCTGGGGGCCCTCCCTACTTGTGTCCAGGACAAAACAAACTGCTGGGCAGTGCTGCCCACGGCCCCTTCTTGTGGTAAATCTGGGAATGAGGGAGTCCTGCTTCTCAGGGGTACAGCTTTCTCCGTCTGGTGAACAGAGACCCCCCGCACTGGGGGTATTTGCAGCTGCCCTCTCAGGACAGTGAGTAAGCCCTTTCCCTCCAGGGACATGAACACGGAGAGCCAGCAGCCGCAGGGTTTCACCACCTTATACCAAGGACTCTGCGGATCCTCAATGGCTGTATTTGTTATTTCCTTGCAGTGTGAGGGTAAGGGACAGATTTAAAATTCTGTATTCTTCCAGTTTGGAGACCAGACCTGGATTACAGAGCTGCTCAGCTGTGCTTTCACTCTTTCTGAGGATTAAAACTCAACCTGAAATCCTCTCCCCTCTCCATGACAGCACCATGACATATTCTAAAGACTGAGCCTGAGGTGGTCTGGCAGAGGATCTGCACCTGAGAAGGGTCCCTGGGGCCCAGCCTGTTCTCAGCAACTTTCTTTCTCTGTGGTGCCCATCTGCAGGGCACATTCCACCCGCTCGTTCCCTTTGGGATCTTCCAGGAGGAATTAGAAACATCACACCAAGGAGGTATATGTGCACCCATGTGTACAGCAGCACAGTTTGTAATAGCTACACTGTGGAAAGAACCCAAATGCCCACCAACAGATACATGGATAAAAAAGTTATTTGTTAATACAATGGAATGATATTGAGCCATAAAAAAAGAATATATTGAGACAGTTTTAGCTAAATAGATGCACCTTGAGACCATATCCTTAAGTGAAATAAATCAGACCTGTAAATATTGCATTGTCTCCCTGGTGTGAGAGGCTGAAAGTGTAATTAAGGACCAAAACATACACTAGACATTGTGAAATAAGAAGAAATTATTCAGCCAAGCATGGCAGCACACACATGTAACCCCCGCACTCAGGAGGCTGAGGCAGGAGGATTGGTACAAGTTCTAGGCCAGCCTGGGCTATAAAGTGAGTTCAGGGCCACTTGTCTTAAAAACAAGAAAAATAATAAAAGAAAAAGAAACAAAAGTTATTGAAAAAGAAAGAAGAACCAGAAAGAGGGAAGGGAAGAGGAATGAAGCAAAAGAAAAGGATAAAATGGAAACAAAGCTTTGTAAATAAGGCGATGAAGAGGGGTTGAAGGGAGAGCAGAGGATTGGGGGTAAAGAGGAATCACGATTTAATGTGTACATGCACAAATTCCCTATCAAGAACAGTACCATTCTGTGCACCTAAATTACATCAATCAAAAGACTTAAAACAGTCACCAGCGGGCGAGTTAGGCTGTGACCCAGGCAGCCCTCTCTGGGATCCCTGCTCTGCGCATGTGCAGCCCCACCCTGCATTGCGCATGCGCTCTAACCGCACCTAGGGCTGCTAGGTGACTCATTTTCTTGTATCTTTTTGTCCAACACTGAGCACACACAGAATTTAAAATGGGCAAGGCCAGAATACAGTGTGTGGGGGCCACACTTGGTAATAAAACCATCAAGAGACGCGGTTTTGATGTTTTATGCCCGTTTGGTGACACATCAGGCTTTTATTCCTCTGTAAAACTAGTTAGTAAAATGTGCATTCACCTGTCTTGGGCTTGGTATGTGTTAGAAATCTGTTTTGGAACCAGACAGAAAACCCACGGTTTCCTGTGAGGTTCTTGGAGTTAAGGACTATCCAGAGGATGAGAAAAAAAAAGACAAAGTGGAGCCCTCATCCTCCTGATGGGAGGAAAGGAACTGCTCAACCACTGCAGCACCTTTATTTATACATTCAGCAGGATGATGTCGATTTCAGCCCCACTGCCTGCAACCACTGCCTGGCAGCCCTAGCCCCCTGCCTTCTTGGTGCTGAAACAACCTGTTTACATAGCTTGCTTTGGTCTCTCTGTTTTTCCTGGACTGACCTTGCTTTAGCCTCACACATGTGATCAATCTCCAGCTTCAAGGGCTCCGTACAGTCTGTGGTTCTCAATGTAGCTTTTCTGCATAACAGAATAAAAACTAAGCATGCTCTCACTATGGGCTCACAAAATAGATACTTATTAGCTACACACCATTATTTATACTTAAATTTGTGGTACAGATCTTCACTCCTAGGGCACTTGCTACCTGCGGACGGGGAACGATGGGCACAGTCTGCTTCCGAGCCTTGGCCTTGCGAGTCCCAGGCCTAAGACAGCACCAAGGTGGACACAGCCTTGCTCAGCTCGCGACTCCCCTGGTTTCACTTCTCCCTCGGGAAACCCGTGTCCGGCCCTTCTGCCTGGAGGCTGGTGACGCATCGCCGCTTCTCACCCGCATTGGTTGGCGGCGTCTAGCGCAGCCAATCAGCGTCGCCGAGGTTCCTGTTACAAAGTCCTCATAGAGCACAGGGAATTCTTCAGGCTCAACACCAGGATGACAGGGATGGGGCCCCGAATCCTCCTGCTGCTGCTGTCGGGGGTCCTGGTCCTGACCGAGACCCGGGCAGGTGAGTGCGGGCGCAGGGAGGCGGGAGCGGCGGGGCCGGCCGGGAGGAGGTCGCGGTCTCACCGCCCCGCCCCGCAGGCTCGCACTCCCTGCGCTACTTCCACACCGCGGTGTCCCGGCCCGGACGCGGGGACTCGCGCTTCTTCACTGTGGGCTACGTGGACGACACGGAGTTCGTGCGCTTCGACGGCGACGCCGAGAGTCCCAGGATGGAGCCGCAGGCGCCATGGATGGAGCGAGTGGATCAGGCGTATTGGGACAGAGAGACACAGAGAGCCAAGGGCAACGCACAGGTTTACGGAGTGAGACTGCGGAACCTGCACGGCTACTACAACCAGAGCGGGGACGGTGAGTGACCCCGGCGGGTCAGAGGTCACGGCCCCTGCCCACCCCCACGGACGGCCCGGGGGCCCATATCCGAAGTTCATGAGGAGACCCCAGCCCCGAAAGAGCGGGGACCGCGACTCCTTTTCATTTTCAGTTTGGGAGATAAATCCCGGGGGCGGGGCTGACGGCGGGGGCGGGGCTGACGGCGGGGGCGGGGCCAGGCTCTCACACTTACCAGAAGATGTACGGCTGCGAGGTGGGGCCAGACGGAAGCTTTCTCCATGGGTACATGCAGTGGGGATACGACGGGGAAGATTACATCGCCCTTGGCGAGGACCTGAGCTCCTGGGTGGCTGCGGACACTGCGGCTCAGATCACACAGCGCGAATGGGTGGAGACCCGTTATGCAGAGCGAAAAAGGGCCTACCTGGAGGGCACCTGCGTGGAGTGGCTCCTCAGATACCTGGAGAACGGGAAGGAGACTCTGCAGCGCGCAGGTACCAGCCCTGAGGACCTCCCCATCTGTGCTATGGCTGGGCAGGTGTTTCCCGGGGAGGAAAAAGGGACCCTTCCCCAGTACTCCTGCCCTCTCCTGTCCTGGGGAAGAGCGTTCCTGGGATTGCACAGCTGATAGCAGATTGCTCCCCTGAACCCCCTTCTCTCAGGAGAGGAACAGTCTGTCTCTCTTGAGAGAGGAAGATCCCTGAGGTTCTGCTCACCCTGCCCTTCAGGAGGCTGTGAACCTGAGCTCTCTCAGCCTTGTGCTCTGCCCCACACCCAGTGTCTGTGGAGCTCTGACCATGCTTATTCTGGTCTCTCAGTCTCCATCCACTCAGGAGAGAGGTCCCTTCCCTCCCCCACAGACCTAGAACCTCCTCCCCAGGGCCGACTCACCCTGAGTCTGTTTGCAGCCACCCCAACTACACTTGTCCTGTCTGTTCTCAGGATGGTCACAGGAGCGCTGCCTGGAGTGGCCCAGGAATAATGCAAAGAGCCTGAATTTTCCTTTTACCCTCAGACCCTACAGAGACACACGTGACCCGCCACCCCATCTCCAAGGATCAGGTCACCCTGCGGTGCTGGGCCCTGGGCTTCTACCCTAAGGACATCTCCCTGATCTGGCAGCGGGATGGGGAGGAGCTGACCCAGGACATGGAGCTGGTGGAGACCAGGCCTGATGGGAATGGCAACTTCCAGAAGTGGGCGGCTGTTATGGTGCGTTCTGGAGAGGAGCAGAATTACATGTGCCGTGTGCAGCATGAGGGGCTGCCTGAGCCCCTCACCCTGAGATGGGGTAAGGGGGATGTTATGTCCTGTGTCTAGATGATGCCCCAAATCCTCGTGCTCATAGGTGAGGTTCATCAGAGGTGGCTGGATATGGGTGTGTGACCCTGGATGCAGGGTGTGATGACTGGATCACTCTGCTGTTCTGGGTGTGGCTGAGTGGATTAGGGAAGACAGCAGACCCAGCCTGGGTGTGAGTGGGATCCACCAGCAGCCTCACAGCCTGAGTGCAGTGAAGAGGGGGAAGCTGCCTGCTTGCTGCTTCCTGCCTGCATGCTGTGGGCTGTTTCTGCTCTGTGATGGCCCTGCCGGCCTCCCTGCCTTGAAGTGTCCTGAGTTGAAATGAATCCTATCTCCTTTGACATAAAGGTGTAGGATTTTTTGTCTCAGCAACAAGAAAGTGATTAAGACAGAGGGGAGAGGGCACAGGAGCTCTTTTCTTTACAGGCAAGAGTCTTTGTGGAGACACCCAGCAGCCTGGGCTCAGTCCAGGGTCCATGTTGGTCATTGCTAGGACACTATACCTGATGCCTGCCAATTAAAAGAGACAGGATTTATTTTGGCTTTCAAGTTTGTAGACATTGCAGTTAAAACTCAGGCATCACTGCAGAGCAGAAGGTCCTGGCACTGGAGAGCTGCTCATGGCAGTGCAGACAACAACCAGAGAGCAATGGGGGGACCTGAGAAAGGAGAGAAACCCTACCGAGCCACACCCTCATGACCCCCTCCTTCCCCCCAGACCCCACCTCCTAACAGCAAGTCAGCTCTTAGCCCCACAGTGCAGTCAGCTTCCAAATGCCCACATTTGCATGAGGCTTTGGGGTCCACTTAGATACAAGCAGAGCCCCTCACCTCCTCTTTTCTTCTTTTCTCTTCCTTCCCCTTCCCTCCCCAGAGTCCCCTCCTCAGCCCTCCATCCCCATCCTGGGGGTTGTTGCTGCTGTGATTCTCCTTGTAGCTGTGCTCCCTGGAGTTGCCTTTGTGATATGGAGGAGGAGGAGAGCAGGTAGGGGTGGGGTCAGCGTCTTCCTGTTTCAGCCCCAGAGAGAAGTGCACCCCACCACACTGTGGGGCGCCCCCTCCCCACACATGTGCTTGCCCAGCCTGGAGCCCTGGACATGGAGCCAGTTGTGAAACAGGGACAAAGAGGGACAGATTGGTCACCCAGAGGGTTGTGGCGATGGATACTTGATTCCCCAAGCAGGCAGGGTCAGAGGGGAAGGTCCCTGCTAGGACAGAGCCTCAGGAAGGCAGTTGGTGCAGGTCCTGAACGGATCCTCCCCTCATGCCTCCTGATCCTTCCCTGGGTCTGCATCCAGTTCTGGAAGCTTCCCTGGGCTCCAGACCTGGGCAGTTCTTCCTGGCTGTCAAGGCCCCGCCTCCTCCCTGGCTTCTCACAGGACATTTGCTTCCCACAGGTGTAAAGGGAGGGAGTTACACTCGGCCTGCAAGTAAGTATGGGGGGCTGATTCCTGAGAGCCTTGGCGTTCTGTAGCCAGGAACCATGGGATCCCCACCTCATGATCCCCCTTCTCCATGTCTGCTGGGTTCTGAGGACTTTACGTTACATTTTCCACCCAGGGGGTGACAGTGCCCAGGGCTCTGATTCCTCTCTCATGGCTGGTAAGGGTGAGACCCCGGGGGGCCTGAAGTGGGAGAGATGGGCTGAGGCAGAGGGGACACAGCAGGGTCCCTGTCTGACTGTGAGCCCTGTGTGTGAGCAGCGGGCTTCTCTGTTAATGTTTATCAGGACCTGGGTGCTGTGCCTGGTGTTTGTATTCACCCTGGGGAGCTGGTGCTCATGTGTAACTCTTCTCTGCTTTTTGCTTCTCTGTGCTCCCCGCTCCATCCCCTGCCTCCATGTCTAGATCCCCTCCTGTGTGCAGAGAGCCTCTCTCTCAGTGAGCTCCTCAGGATGGTGCCACATGGAGCCGTGGCCCTGACTTTATAACCCTTCTGTCCCGTAGCATGAGACAGCTACCTTGCGGGTGCCTGAGGAACTCCACGCTTCTCCAGCCCATGCTTTGTGACCTCAAGATCACCTGAGTCCCTCCCTGAAAATGGCTTCCGAGTTTGTCCATGTTCCTGTGGGCATCGGGGAGGGCTGTGAGGAAGGCTGTCCTGGGCAGCAGGACTCCTGTCCCCACGCTGACCTGTGTTCCCTCCCGCTCAGCTCCTCTTCCAGCAGGTGTGGTCTGGGGCGGCTCCTCACAGGGATGAGATGGAGCGGAGTGCACACAGCTTCCCCCAGGACTCCTCTTGATTCTGATCCTGCCTTTATTGAATTACAGCCCCACAATAAATCCAGTAGCAGCAAAGCAGAGTTGTGCACGTTGTAGGCTGCAGTGAGACACAGGACTGAGTTACGTGCAGCTGCAGTCTCTACCTAGTTAATTAGTGCTGGAGCCACGGGTCCTCAGCTGTGGTCTTGCCTTGCTCTTTGAGGTGTCTCTGGCCTCACAGGCCACTACAGGCCTCAGCCAGCCTCAGTGATTCACAGAGGTTCACTTACTAAGAATCAGCTCCTGTCACCAGGCAAGGGACCGAGGCCTAGGAGAGACTCACAGATAAACATGGAAAGCCAATTAGTTCATTTTAAATCCTGCTCAGAGCCGCTTCATAGTGGTCTCCAACAAGCGTGGGCTACAAAGTGAGCCCAAGGCCCACCTGAACTGCATAGTGAGGCCTGCCTCAAAAAGACAGGGAAAAAAAAGGCCTGCCTGGCAAGTGCAAGTGCAAGGTTCTGAGTTTAATTCTTGGTACCAAAAAAAACCATTCCAGTGTGTGAGGGCAACAATGAATGGGAGCATGGAGACCCTTCCTGTGTGTGCTTTTGCTGTGCTCTGAGTGACCTGCAGGGGGCGTCAGGAGATGGGGAGATGAGGCCTGGGGTGGGTCTTCTGTCTGTAGTGAATCCCTCAGCCACACCCAGAACTGTGCTGACCCAATGCAGTCAGCATTTCTTACTCAGGTTGACAGAAGCAGTGAACTATCACACCCACCCTGCTGGGAGCCACTGAAGTTGGAAACTGACTACAGGTGCCAGGCTGGGGTGTGGCCGCCCCAAGAACAGGGTGCCCAGCATAAAGCCACTTGAACCTGCTTCAGCCAGAGAACCCCAGGCCCCAGGACAATCTGAACAGTGGGTTGCTAGGACAATGGGATGTCACGTGGCATTAAGTATAAATAATGCCGGGCAGTGAGGGCAGGTCCTTCCCTCCCATCAGAGAGTAGGGCGCCACGTGATCCTCCCTTTGTGCTTTATTTTCTCATTCTCTCATGGTCCTTGCCAGGAACCTCAAGGTCCACACTGGGTCCCGGCCTAGGGCGCCCAAACATGGAAGGGTCAGAGACTGAGGGCAGGGGAGACTTCTAAATAGCACACACCTAGGGCGGGAGGCGCATTGGTGTAGGTCAGGAGTCCTCACGGGAATGTTGATGCAGGGTGCATCAGGTGTAAAGACCGGGGCCTTAACCTGTGTTAGGGCCAGTTATAAACAGGCCGTGCAGAACCCCTTCCCCAGAAGGAAAATAAGTATCGATTTCATTAGTAGTATAATTATGGGGATAAACAACTTTTAAAGAATCAGAAATGTGTAAGGAACTGTTCGTTGTATGCTGGATTCCAGTATTTACATTTCTTTCGTGGATTTTGATCAAGAATCATCTTGATGATTATAAGCTTGCTGAAACAGCTACAGCGAAACTGGCTCAGGGCACTGTTTTTAAAATCTAGCTCTGAGCAAGAAAAAGATGGCCAAACTTGACAGGGTTTAAGCCCTCTGGCTTTGCTCAGTTAGCTAAGAGAGGAGAGAAGGGGTAACTTCCCCAGGGGAGGGGAGCTTTGCTGTGAATCCTATTTGACAACACCCAGTATTTTTAATTCAGTCACAAACAGCTCATCCACCTTTTCAGCTCAGAGAAACTCTGCTGCATCCCAGGTTAAAACTTGTGGAGTAGAACTGTCTTTCCTGTCTTCTCCATCTCCCTTGCAATTGACGCTAAAAGAAGCCAGACTGGCAGGTAGCACATAGAGGATTTGCAGCGCATCTACGGGGTTACTAAACATCCAGTCCCCAGAAGTCTGAGGCAGGTTTATAATCCGTCAGGCCCTCAGTTCACTGCCTAAAGGAAAGAGAGAGAACAAAGCTCCTTGTTTTCATTAGGGGAAGGGCACATTTTGCCAATAGCTGTGCTGCTGCACCTGTGGGGCCAGCCCAGCCACAATCTCTCCCTTCAGCACAACCTGCTGCCCTCCGTCCACAGTGTAGATGTCGGTGTCACTGGCCCACTCGGTGTAAATTACAAACTGATGGGGAAGGCCTTCCTGTCCCAGAAGAAAAGCTTCCAGCGGGGCTGCAGCAGCCCTGCCAGGGATCAGGGGTGCTGGGGCTCAGACAGTTGCCCTGAGATGCACAGCCCGGCTCGGCACGGCAGGCTCCTGGTGCTCGGGGGTAATGTCCTGATTTGGGGTTTGCTGATGTTTGTTCACAAAATAATCTCACAAAGATAATTTCAAATAGCCAGTATGACAACAACTAACCTGTAAAACTTCTAAAAATCCATTAATTGGCTTTCACGAGCTGGTGATAGACTGTCTCCTGCATGTCACCGGCTCACTGTGGCTTTGCACTGAGTCTTGATATCTGGTAGGATAAATTCTCAAACTGTCATTTTTCAAGATCGTTTACCTCAGGAGTACTTGCTTCAAATCCACAATCAATGTAACTCTTTGTTTAGGGTGTTTTTGCTTTCTTTTGTCAATTTTAGTTTTCAATGCACTGAAACTACACAGCTTTCTAAATTTCTGGAGTGTTTTTGGTTCCAGAAGAAAAAAATTGTAAATTTACATACTTGGGAGGAAATGGGAAAACAACTTAGAGCCAGGCTAGTGAAAAAACAAACACAAGACTACCTGGGCCTCTACAGACTTTAAAACTATTGTTTAACAGGAGAAACTGCTGCTGTCTGCTCCTCTGGCCACTTCTCACAGCCCCCAGGCAGGGGAGGGACCCAAAGAGCTCCAGGAGCCTGGGGCGTGGCCCAGACAGGGGAGGGGGGGGGGGGAAACAATGCTTCCTGTTTCAGGTGCAAGGGGGAGATGTTGTGGTTCTGATGTAACATAATGTTGAGAGGCTTAATTTTGACTCTTAAGGATTGGTAAATCTGTGTTTAAATGTTCAGGTTGTAAAACTGAAAAATAAGCATGCTTTGTGGTTAAAAACTGGTTTAAAGCAGTGTGTCTGATTGCCAAGTTGACAGTGGGATGGGATGGTTGATACACTGTCAACTTGAAGACCTGAAGCTTGGCTGAGTGACTCAGTGGGGGCCTGGAAGAGCTCATTTTGTAAGATTCCTGTACTGAGCAGGGATAGGGCAAAGATGGTGTGCGTGCTGCACACATCCAGGTCACCTGCTTACAGTGTGGGGAGGACAGGGCAGCTTAGCTTCCCTCCTGTGCGCTTGCTACTTTTGCTGTCTTCCCCTCCATGGACTGTTGCTCTCTGGGTCACTAAGGCACTGCTGTTTCCCCTGCCACCTTCCATCAGAATGCTTCAGCCTTGTGCAACAGCTCCATTTAACCCACATACAGGCTCAAAATTGATAAACTTGCTCAAAATTTACTTACAAAAACAAAAGGGAATTTTACCTAGACTTCATTGGGCAGTATGTACTGTTAAAGTTTGAATCCTACTAAGGACAGAACCGCAGCAGCAGCAAGACAATCAGTCAGGTGAAAGAAAGAAGCCAGGAAGTGTCCTTCAGAGTTTCATGCTGGACAGTGCGAATTTGGGGTGGAGGGAGTGCTTGTGTTTTAACAGGAAATGCTAAATGGGTGCCAGAGCATGTTGCCTGGCTGTATCATGGACCCAAACCCAGAGAAAGAGGTGATTCCTGACAGTGATGCCTCAGAGACCACGCAACAGCCCACACAAAAGGATGAAGCTAGAACCAGCCTTAATTGACGCACGACACCCAGGAGATGGTAACCAAAAATAAAACCAAAGGTCTAAATAGATGATAGGAGTGTATGCTCAGTCCTATGACAAAAACATGTTAATTGTAGATAAGATTTTATGCTTTCCAAATTCTTTGACAAGAGAGCTCTGCTAATTTACTTGCCATAATTCTGACTAGCCTATTTATAGTTACAGATTCTAAAGTTGTAAAAGGTCACGCAATTTGGCTAAAATACATTTGAGTGCATTCTGATTGTGTAAGATGTTTGTCCTCAGCCTGTGTATCCATTTATAAGTGGTTGTTGGGAGTCCACTGAGCTAGTGATCATTCACCCGTGTAGAGCCGAGAGCACTGTGCCCCTACAGGAGTGCCCACGGGCACAGAGTGCTGAGAAGCTCCCTGAGGACATGGGGTGCTGGAGGCGACAGGTGTCCCAGCCCAGAGAACACAGGGTGTAAGAAGGGAGCTAGTTCAGCAAAGGGTCATAATACAAGTGAGTAAATAGCCCCCAGCGTTTAGAGAGCTCTGTGGACGCTGATAATTCTGCACTTGTTTCTATGTCTGCTCGAACCTTTACAGATCGTCTGTCCATGTTTGTTCATTTGTCTGTTCCGTTAACAGTTGCTCTTTTTTATTTGAGTTCAATAATTTTTTTCTTTTTTTACATTTTTGGATCATTTAATCAAAGTTTAATTTGGGTAACAGACTTAAAAACCATGCTTCCACCTGGGTTCCCAGTTAGTCAAAATAATGCTAAAACTGGTTATGTAAATGAAGTGTACATTGTTGTTTGTTGAACTTGAGTCTCTCACTGTTCAAAATAATACATCAAATATTATGATTGAGTTTTTCTTAAATCATTAAAAAATTATTAAGATGGTTAAATAAAACCCATTAGTGTGAGGAGAGATTATTGGACAGGACATCAACTGATGAATAAGAAAGTGGCTGCCTGGTGACATTCACCAGCTCTTGTTCATTGATGGGAGGCCCCGTGATCTCCAGGGCCTCAGGGGAGACACCACAACTGAAGTGATAAATATATTATTGTAGTATGTTCACATTGGTCATCGTCTACAATAATAATATACAATAAGGTTTTTATTTAAAGATGCCATACACAGGTTCTCACATGGCTGTGACAGATTGTTATTACCCTCATGCTGCATGGTACATCAATGTATTCAGGCCTCCAGATGTACAGGTCTTCCAAAATAAAAGGGATTGTTTATGGCGACAGAATATTGTTTCAAACTCAGGCTTCTGCTTTTTACAAAAACTTATGAGCTGTACATCCCATTAAAGGTAAAAGTTTTAATGTACTAGATAGTGATGATTGATTAGAAGGGGTATTTTA